TTTCTTGGCTGAAGCCAATCTAGCAGGTTGTGATACTCCATCGCCAAAAGCTCTCTAACCGTGAGATTTCTGCTAAGGCAACTTCCTGAATTCAGCTACTTCGAAAGTAGCTAACAGTGCCTTAGCTTATCATTCACTATCTTTACTTAATCTAGTCTTTCAGAATTTGCATGCGATTATTGCTGCTAGCGCTTCTCGCACTCGGCACTGTCGCACACCCCGCCCATCCTATTCACCCAAACGGTAAGTTGCCGAACTCTAAACGGGACACTCTTTAAAGAGGATTTTAGATGACCTTTTGTTGCCATTCGCGATTATAGCAGACCTAGACTTAGAAGCGAAGGATGGTAACGTCTGGTACAGCCCAATGTCTATAGGAAGTTTGGCACTAAACGCCGTAGGTTAATTTCTCGTTCACTAGTAGCTGTGTATATGTCAAAAAATAGTCCCCAAGCTTTTTCGTATTCTTAAAAAAATTTAAATGAAAGCACGACGTCAATTTCACTGAATAACAGTGGAACTTTTCAGTAGCATTTCTTGCCATATTAAATCTGCTCATTGGCAAGCAGTGAACGCTGTCTCTGAAGTCTATTTATCTAGGCGACTCTGCACTCTGAGGTGTAAGCGTTTCGTTAAGTTCAAAATCAAACGGCCGGTGTTGGATATGACATTCTGTTTACGTTAGGCCTAAGGCATACCTCACGCGATTTAAGTCGCGACGCGATTTGGCAATACTCCAATCGCTCATAACTCATCGTAAGCGGTTTTTTAATGTACGGAAGATAGGGCATTACATCAACCTACGGAAGCTATACATGCTGTGCATTTGGGGTTTGCCGATATTGATTTTAAAGACATCTGGCAAATTACCAGATCGCGTGGCGACTAAAATCGCGTGAGGTATGCCTTAGGCCTTACACTACCACTTACAAAAGCTTTGCTCCGACGATATAGCATTGCATCCTCCGATATATAGAAGTGCTTTCGAGTCTTATGAGGTTTATGGCAGCTAGTCATCAAGAATATTTTGGTTTTCCGAGTCCTATAAGGTTTATGACAGCTGACCATTTTCACGAAGACTTCTGTTTTTAACGATACTGCTCATTATTTTGATTTTGCCGGATATGCTTTCTACCGTAAACATGTTCGAGAGAAAGGATTTGCTACCATAAACTTACAGTACCCTAATGAAGGGCGTATTTCGCGAGCATGGCTTATTGCTAAGCATCAAGAAAATATGTGAGGAAAAGCCAACTGACTAAAGTGAGAGCAAACATCAATCAGAGAGATTTGGACCAAATATTGTGAAGAACATAGTGAAACTGTGAACTTTAACTCCAGTTGTTTTGTTATGGATATTTGCATCTTAGAACAGGTCTGCAGCATTCATACATTGGACTTCGACTCATAACTACACTAGCAAATTGAACTATAATGGCAGAGGGATGGAGCTGAGCGACATGAAATACTACGATGGCAAACTCTTGACTATAGACGACAAGACGGGAGTTGTTTACAAGTAATGCTTTATCTCCAAAAAGAGCTCATCTTCTATTGTAATACATATGGTAACAAAAAATGACTTAAAAATTTCCAATCCTCGCAAAATCTATTCTGAACATGCACGAGGTAGCTTCCTTGCTAGAGCTTAGTTAAAAGAACAATCAGAGAAGGGTTAGTTAAGTAAAAGTGAAATAAACTTTTCAGATTGGATGGGAAAAAAGCAGTTCCATGGGTCATTCTATCTAGAGGAGATGGCAATGAAGAAGGATGTGAGCCACAGTTTTTTGACTTTCACAGATACATACATCATCCTTTCAGTCTTCAAGGGAGAATGGTTAACAATTAAGGACGGCTATTTATACTGTGGCAGCCATGGAAGGGAGTATACCACTCCAGAGGGAGAATACTTGAACGACACTCCGATGTACGTAAAGGTATGGTTCCCGGAGTTGTTTACATTTTTACCAGTCGCTTTTTCCAGAGAATCTCTCCCGAAGGCGCTGTTCATACCGAAAATTGGGTTCAGCGTTACGTTATGCTCAGAGGAGCAATAGGTATTCATTTTCCAGGATATGTGGTCCACGAGGCTGTGCAATGGTCTGACAAACATAATGTAAGCTGACAAATGCTTAGGCCCTAATCATACCTCACGCGTTTTCGGTCGCTACTCGATTTGACGATACTCCAATTTGTTCCCCGCGCTGAGTAAGAGGTCAGGCACAAACCTTCAGGAAACGATCCTCCCCCCGCCCCACCCTACCTGGAGGCCCCAAACGACCCCTTTTCTTCCTCTTTACCTCCGGATCCTCAGAATGTAATTCTGGAGAACATCATCTTATTATACAGAGTTTCCGAACTTTTGACGTCTGTGCCCACGATTTTCTGTGGTTGCACCCTGCACCCTCACGTAATTTGACGGCGAATTTGGATTTGGAAGGGTCCATTGAAAAAACCGTAATTTTTCCATAGGTGGAGTCTTTGGGTTCAAATTTTCACTGTAGCATGAAGAGGCGATGAGCTCAGTACTCATATCAGGAATGGAGCAATTTCCAAATTTTGAAGGCAAGTTAAGGGAGTCACGCACGAAGCTACAGCTTAGGCAGCCTGACCTTATGAGGGGTTGTGCCTGACCTCATTAACTTTTGTCGAGGAAGCTTTTTCATCCGTGATTTTCTGTGCTTCGCTAGCTCAAACCTCGAAGAGTCTATACGGAGTGTTTGGGCTTACATCGATTTGTTTTAGCCTTGTGGTGAACCGTGGGTTTGAAGCACTCAAAGTGGAAAAGCAATGGTTGAAAATTTAGCAGCACTTCCGGATCCACTATTTAAACACATTTGAAAAAAGTTATTTATGTTCGAAAGTTATGCTTTCAGACGTTGGAAAACACTAGAATGTAACAAATTATGGTTTGGAAAGCTCTTAAAGGTAATTTGACACGCTAATTACGGAATTTGTATCCAGTCTGTAGTAAGCATTTTCGATGACCTTACAGTATGGGTAAGATGAACAAGGAAGAACTGAAGACCGGCTGAGATTCGGTAGTGGAGCTATTCAGTATGCTATTCAGAACAGTCATTTTCACTTTTGATA